GGAAGGAGGGTGAAGGGTGCACAGGTAATGGGGAAAAAAATAAAGTAAGAACCAAGATACATCATGTACAGGTACAAACACCCAATGATAAATGTAAACGAATTGTATACCTAAAATGTACCAATAAAAGAACTAAAGAAGTAAAAAAAAAAATAGTAATCAGATGATCTCTTGAGGTTTCTCTTCTAAACTGCGGTGTACACTTTTTTAACATCTGGCCTTCGCTTAACCTTTGCTCGTTCACAGCCCCATCCCTTGTAGAACCCGCCGTCCAGTTAGGAGTGCTCGTTAGTACTCCTACGCTGTCTGCTCCTGCTAGTTTAGTCATTGCCTTCGGAAAGTCAATGGTGTTTATCCAAAACCTGTTTATACTGATTTTCTTGTTATGGTATTTATATAATTAAATTAAATGTTATATTAGCTACTGAAGTCAGAGTATAAAAATAGTTGTTTTAATGAGAACGAAGATTTGAAAAACCAAACAATTTAACTGAAAGATGACTTTCTGAAAAATATATATTGTTAGATTAGATAATAATTTAGGTAGAGCCAGGCATGGTGGTGCACACCTGTAATCCTGGTACTCTGTCACAAGTTCGAGCCCACCCTGAGCAATTTAGTAACTAACCAAGACCTTGTTTCAAAATAAAACATAAACAGGCTGGGAATGTAGCTGAGTATGAAGGCCCTGGGTTCAATCCCAATGGGGGAGAGGGGACACAGATAAGGTAAAGAAAAAGTGTGTGTGTGTGGGGGGGTGTTAAAAATCTGAAATTCTCAAGCTGAATGTGGTGGCACACACCTGTAATCCCAGCACTGGGGAGGCTGAGGCAGGAGGATCATCCTGAAATGGAGGCTACGTAGTGAGTTCAAGGCCAGCCTGAACTGCATAGTGAGACCCTGTCTCAAAAAAAGAAAACAAACAAACAAAAACTATAAAAACCTGGATCCCTATTGCTTTGCAAGTCTTCTGAATCTTTCACCCCTCATATGAATTGAAACTGAAAATTATAGACAGTTCAATAATGACTAAATCTAGGCAGAAGACTCATAATCAAAGAAAAGGTCCTGCTATAAGAAGTAACTGATGAATATACTTGATATGGTTTGTGGTAAAAATAAAAGATTAACTGGAGGCTGGGGGTATAGCTCAGTGGTGGAGCACTTGCCTAGCATGTGCAAGGCCCTCAGTTCAACTCCAGCATCACAAAAATTAAAAATAGCTGGGTGTGGTGGCACATGCCTGTAATCCCAGCCTTCAGGTTATGAGTCCAAGGCTGCCTGTATTACAGAGTGAGACCAAACAAAGTTTTTTGGCTGTTCCACTTGAAAAAATAAGCTTCTTTGGTTAGGGCCCATCAGGTAAAGAGGGCTGGTCTGCGATCTTCATTCCATGGTAGACCTTTTAAAGAATAATACAATAAAAAAAAAAAAAAAGAATAATACAATAATGATTTTACTGTAAGTCATAACAGTACTTTTTAATTTGCATACATTCTCCTTGCCTAAGATCTATATAAAAATACCTCATATTTCATATTAAAACTCAATTGTTACTGTTTTCTTCACAGAACATCCAGAAGATTCTTGGCCTTGCCCCTTCACGAGCTGCCACCAAGCAGGCAGGTGGATTTCTTGGCCCTCCACCTCCGTCTGGAAAGTTCTCTTGAACTCAGGGAGAAGCTTTTAGTTCCTGTGGTTCTTTCTAAGCATTCACCTCAGACTGGCCATGTTTTACAGCAAGAGCTGTAGGGCCGTCATCTCGTTTTGTTTCTCAACTTTTTAAATGTGATTAGGCACCTAACAGGATAGTTCTTTTTGTCATAGAAATTTTTTTTAAATCAGTACATCAATTAGTTAAGTTCAGGTGATTTTTTATGTTGAAAAAACAAATCTTTCTTGCTTTAATATTTTCTGAGGGAGCGACTCAAGGCTGTGTGTGCCATCTACCATGGAAGCTGACTCCGTGAACACCGGTGAGCTAAAAGAAAAATTTAATCTGTGTAACTCAACTTCATTGGAACTGTTTGTTGTGTTTTTAAAGCCCAGTCACTTAACATCAATAAAGAAGCCAAATTTCTAACCATTTTGTCTATAAGGAGAGATCTATTTTGTTTTGTTTTGCATATTTTTAGACAAGTTTTTAGTAATCAGAACATAAGGATAAGCATTGGCCGTGAAGAGTTAAAAGCTTTTCAAGTACCGTTTTACCATCCTTGCCTCGTATGCTCAGAATGTAGTCTCGTCCTAGTGTGGAATGGAGCCTGGGAAAGAAGCGTGATCAGAGGAGTTTAAAAGCGAGGCTGCCTGGCAGCGCCCTTCCCACCGGGCCCTGCGGCGGCCCGCTGCGTTCTGCTGAGGGAGCTCCCGCACCGGCCTGTGCGCGTGGTCTCCGGACACAGGCGTCTGGCAGAGCTGCCCCTTAGTCCCAGGGACCTTCAGTGCCCACCGCGCATATCTCGCTCCTCCGCGTGATCCGCTGAATCCGTCCTGCCTGGAGTGCTCGCTCACGCTGTTGCTAAATACGTACACTTAACATTCGTCTCCTCAGATGTGGGAATTGTGCCAGTGCGGAAGACAGACACGCAATCCGCAGGGTCGTAACTGTTAAACCGACGGCAGACTTCTCGTCAGCAGCCATCGAGTCCAGAAGAGTGGACAATATCTTCAAAGTGCTGAGGGGAAAAAAGCACCGTAGAATTTTATGCACAGCCAAACCACAAGACTCGGGGCAAAAGAAGGACATTTTCAGACATGCAAAATCTGAGATAAATGAATCATTAAAAGACATATTTCAGGGACAGAAAAGAAGACCCACCAAAAGGGAAAGTATAGGATACAAGAAACTTATCTAACAGAAATTGATAAAATATCCAATGGGTAAAAAAGTTGGTTTTTTTTTTTGGTACCAGGGGATCGAACTTGGGACCTTGTGCTTTTGAGGCAGGCCATGGCACCACTGAGCTAAATCCCTGGCCCTCCAATGGGTAAATTTAAGTGTTTATTTGGATTTTGAGACAGGACATCATTCTGTAGTTCAGGCTGGTTCTGAACTCACTAAGGAGCCCAGGCTGGCTTTGAACTCTCAGGAATCCTCCTGCCTCAGCCTCCTAAGTGCTAGGATTACAGACCTGTGACACCACACCTGGCAAATGTATGTCTTGTATGGATTAGTTTAAGGAATATCTTTTCTTTTTTTTTTTTCTTTGTGGAACTGGGGGTCGAACTCAGGACCTTGCACTTGCCAGGTGGGCACTGCCACCACGGAGGAAATCTCTGGCCCATAGTTTAAGGAATATTTTAAGACAGCTTTGTAAGGTAATTTCTAACCTTACCTTCATTTAACAGATGAGGACTATGATGCAGGAGTGCTTGTGTCACTTGCTCAATGTCACATAGCCGGGGAGCAGCAAGGTCAGGATTTGACCCCAGCAGGGTGAAGCCATGTAGTTCTGGCTTCCAAGTTCTGCTATACTATTGCCTCCCCATTGACACATGGTGGTTTGCTTCCTGTCCCCTTCCCTTATCCCCACAGCTACACAGAGCTCACTGAAGTTGCACTTCGTCTTTCTTTTTTAAATCTGATTTCTCAAAAGCAGTCAGCATGAGTGAAGACGTATCAGGCTTTTAAAGTGTAATCATACCTGTAAGACCAGGTCTTGGGAGGCCGAGGCAGGAAGGTCACAAGTTTGAGGCCAGCCTGGACTACATAGTAAGACCCTGTTAAAAAACAAACAGAAAGCTGTCCATGGTGGCACAAGGCCTGTAATCCCAGCACTTTAGGAGACTGAGGCAGGAGAATCATAAGTTTTTTTGGTACCAGGGATTGAACTGGGATCTTGCACTTGCGAGGCAGGCGGTGGAGAATCATAAGTTTGAGTTCTGCCGGGACAACTTAGTGAGACCCTGTCTCAATATAAAAAAAAAGACGGGGGAATGTAGCAAGGCCCTGGGTCCAATACCCAGTACCAAAGGAAAAAATAAGTATTTTGAAGTTCCTTTTATCAGGAGACTGTTTGATAATGGCTAATAATGACTTCTGTCCTCTTAATGATCTTTTCTCCGTGTCACTAAAAGACCGATGATGAAAAAAAAGCTGCTCATGATACAGTGATGGCGACTGGAACACTATCTAAAATAAAGTAGAGAGCAGTGGAGACCGACAGCAGAGAACAGGGGAGACTGACAGTTGTGACCATCACTGGCCAGGGGCGACTGGCAGGCCCGTGGGGGTCCATGGAGAGAAAGGGAGAGGCAGCGGAAGCTGCTGGGAGAGCTCCAGAAAGGTGCCAGCGAGGCTGGAGGCCTCACTGTTGAAAGCTGATGGGGCGGGCGAGTAGCAGCTTCTGAGCACTGTAACACGGCCACTTGAGCGCAGTCTGGGGCTCTGACATCAAGGGAGCGGCGTTTCCTGAACTCATGACTTCCATCCAAATTGAGCAAAGAGCCCTCAGCTAATTGGTGACAGTATCCCCCAATTTGATAACCCTAAAGAGCTATAGGACAGTATCAGTAATGAGTTACCAATTTAAAGAAATTTTATCATACAAAGGAAAAGATTAACATTTTCTTTATAGAAAACATTTCAAAATAATTGTTATAGGGAAAGGTGACCAAAAATAAGCAGCCAGCGAAATAGAGGCAAAATTATAAAGAGTGCCCCCAAAGTCTACAAACACAGGTGAATGTATATAATGTACCCAAGGGCATTTCTCATCTTAGGAAAATTGTGTTCCAGGGCCAGGGATTTAGCTCAGTGGGTCCTGTGCCTGCCTCGAAAGCACAAGGTCCCAAGTTCGATCCCTGGTACCAAAAAAAAAAGAAAATTGTGTTCTTAATTCCTGGATACCCTGTAGAAAGGCATCACACTGCTACTAAAAGTACGTATTATGGCCAAAAATAAAGTAGAAAAAGAGCAGGGCCCACCTTCAAGGTTCTGCTGTCATTTTTGTCCTGTGAGGACATAGCCCACTCTGCCACCCACACCCAGCAGGTCAAAGCTGCTGTCTTCTAAGAAGATTCCTTACGGATCTGGTTTTCTATACACATTGTATTTCCAGGATAAAAGGAAAAGGAGAAGAGAAGGCAGAAATGCCATCTGTTTACTGTATTCTAGAAAGATCAGTATAGCCAGGGAACATTGCAGAAGAAAGAAAGCTGCCCTTCTTGGGATCAAATTCAAGGAGATACAAGGGTCCTCTGCAGACTCACAGGCAGTCTTCGTAAATGAGAAGTTTCAAGACCAGTTGTTTGGTGATGCTTTACACTTGATCTTAGCCAAAAGGCCGAGAAGCGATGGTGATGCTTTAGATCCAGAGCATCAGGAATTGTTGGAGAGGACGTTTCAAGCCAGAGTTCTCCGAACAGCTCTCAAAACACCTATGTGACTGCTCCTGAGTAACAGATAAAATGTGTCCTGTTCAAGGGAAAAACCTCTAGCCATTATTAATGTCTATGTTAGGCTACTTAGGTTGCACTGATAACTCGATAAAGTAGTAAACTTGAAAATGCAGATTAAATGCAGGTAAATCTGAATTTATTAATAGATTGCATTTCAAAAGCTAAGCTAATTTGAAAATTAGAAGCTGGACAAGGTGCACACCTGTAATCCCAGCACTCAGGAGGCTGAGGCAGGAGGATCACCACAAGTTCAAGGCCAGCCTGGGATACATAGTTCAAAGTCAGCTTGAGCTACATAGCAAGACCCTGTCTCAACAACAAAAAATTGGACAGCTAATGTATGTAGGGACTGAAATCCCCTCATCTTCCAGGTAAGTCCTCTGTTTCAGTGGGATAAGGGAGTTAAAATGACATCAGAGAATTGACAGGGCAGCCAGGCCCCCTGTGTCTACCACAGAAGTGTTCTGCTGCCAGTCACAATGACACATGCCTGCAGTCCCCATATTTGGTTCAAGGCTACGCTGGGTAACTTAGCAAAACCCTGTCTCAAAAATGAAAAGGAATGGGGATGTAGTTCAGTACTCCCTGGGTTCAATATCAGAAAGAACAGTTTAAAAAAGCATTTTGTTCCATACTAGGATATTGTAGGTTTTTGTTTTTTGGTCTTTTGAGACAGGGGTATGCTGTGTAGTCTAGGCAGACTTCCAATTTGTGATCCTCCAGCCTCAGCTTCCCGAGCTGGGATCATAGGTGTGTATCACCACACCCAATTTACTGTAGGCTTTTGGAAAAAACATATTTACACTTATTTTGTGTATTTAATACTGTCCTTCAAATAAAATTATTACATACTTTTTCCCTTTTTGTGATTAATTCTGCTTAAATTACAGCCTTTTGATTTATTCTTGTTTTGAGTTTTTAATACTTTTTTGGAAAGTGAAAAATCCCCAAGATGCATTAAAGTTAAACCAAATATATAAGGGTTGGGGGGGAGCTCAGTGACAGAGTAGTTGCCTAGCATGCCCAAAGCCCTGGATTTTAATCAGCCACCCCCCCCCAAATAAAAAACACCCCAGAGACAGAGTGGGGGCCAAGGAGCAGGAAAGGGAGGAAGAGAAGAATGCTGGGCTAGGCTAACACTTGGTACCTGTCATCCAGCTGCTGGATTTTCAACTCATGTTCAATATTGCATCATCTGTACTTCTTTTTTTTTTTTTTTGGTACTGGGGATCGAACTCGGATCCTTCCGCTTGCAAGGCAGGTGGGGGAACCACTGAGCTAAATCCCCAGCCCCAACATCATCTGTACTTCTCTCCCCCTTTTTTTTTTTTTGGTACTGGAATCGAACTCAGGACCTTGTGCTATCGAGGCAGGCACAGTGCCACTGACCTAAATCCCCAGCCTTCCCCTTCTAACTTTTTGTTTGTTTATTTAGTGGAACTGGAGATTGATCCTAGAGCCTTCACACTAGGGTATATTCTAGTCTTTTAATTTTTTATATTGAGACAGGGTCTAATTAAGTTGCTAAATTACCTGGCTGGGCTCAGACTTTCTTTTTTTTTTTTTTTTCTCGGCTTCAGAGTTTTGATTCTCCTGACTCAGCCTCCCAGAGGGCACGGGGTTACAGGCGTGTACTGTCATGCTCACTTTAGCCTTTTATTATTATGGAGTAAATTCAGAACATAC